AAATAAATAAATAAATAAATAAATAAATAAATAAATAAATAAATAAATAAAAAAGAACGCCAATAAATGTATGGCAACTACGCCATCATGGTTGCTAGATATATTTGTCTGTAAGCCACTCTGTCGTTCCAGTCCTATAACCCCAGGCAAAAAGTCAGTAGATACATATATTTGAGAACTTGTCGCACTGACGCGGTACAGCCTAAAATATCGCGACGACTCGTCTAAAAATATCTAGATTCAACTTGGCATTGGTGGTTTACAGTCACTGTGCTTTTCACGATTCAAATCGCCTCTTTGAACCATTATGGACCACATACATTGCAGCTAAACGTAAGGGTTCAGCTACTTTTGCAAGACAGGGAAATACATCAAGGTCCATTGCAGTTGACAGCCGTGATAGTGGCAACCAGTCGTCGCACTCGGCGAAGTGCACCTTACACGATTCTCCCATGCATTCTCCCATGTACTGGTAAGCATTGGGCTGTCTCCTTTTCTTTTTGTTGCAAAAATCTTCAATTTGGAAATCAGAATTTGTGAATGATAAAAATTGTAAGATTGTCCTAGATTTAGCCTAAAATGATAAAAACTCTTCATAAAAATAGCAACAGGAATAATAACATTATAACTTTTTCATTTTTAAAAAGTGTTATGTTGTTGAAGGAATGCCGCATAGGTTAGTATTAGAAAAATTATTACTGCATCTCGATCGAGACCAAAGGATGTGTAGTCTTTCAGTCAGTTGAATCAGGGGCATTTCATGGCTTTCTCGACCAAATGGTGAAAAGTAAAAGTGTAAAACTAAGCGGACTTTCGCAGTTGGTCAACTCTGGACAGCCGGGATATTATTATTGCTTTCAATAATGTTCCAAAATTACAGGGGTTGATCGTTTTTAACAGAGAAAATAGTACGACATTTTACAGTGTTGCTACCCAAAAGGTATGATAGTCTCCTAAGCAACCGCTATTAGTGTCGTCACTTCCCTAAGTAGCGCGGCCGCTACTTATTAGGGGAGTGAGCGTGGCGTGAACTATAGCCTAGAAATATATCAGTTAACTGTGTAATTATAAATCCCCCCTCCCTCTCTCCCTCTCTCTGCCCCGTTATGGAAACCGATTAGAGATCGAGGTCATCTTGCTTCGTTAGCAACTAAATGTATTAGTCAACCGAGCCACACCAGTTATGGACTGAGTCGTGCATGTATGTCAATAATGCATATCTCTGGTCTAGTTAGTCAGGAGAAAAGGATTATGCTTATCAAGCTAAAGTAAAGACAGCTGGTATGTGAGAACTTAATGATTGAACGCTAGCACTTTTGCTTAAACTTAATTGGATTTATTTGTGTGTTCATCACTCTCCCTCCCACTACTATAGGGACCATAGCTTCGACCACAGACCATGAAAAAACTGGACTCTATAAACTGAAAGGATCACGTTATGGTTCTTGGATTATAAAAGCCGTATTTGTTAGTATGCTCTAGATAGAAGGTTATTATGTGTACTCTACCTGTCAATGATGCTGGCTTATTTATCTTGGCCTTGGATCTATTTCACTCTTTCCCGTCTCACTTTATCTCTAATACAGTAACTTTCGTTAACGCTAGTGTGATATCTTAAGTTTTTAAAAGGCTCGGTCAGGATGACGTGGTCATTAAAGGTTTTGATTGCTCTTTTGAACGCTTAAACTCTAAACACATCCTGTTTTGTTGCAGTATATGTACGTAAAAAAATCTTTATGGATTTCCTGTAGAAGATATTGAGCCACACAAAATATATGTATTTTTAGTTTATGAAGAATTAGTGATACAGAAACTCCTACACTTATATCATGTCTAGAAAAGAAAAGTTGATATGCAGTGCCACTCTTCCGTTGGGGAAAACTACGCCAAAATCGCTACTAAGTGGTTAGGCCAAGTCATTCGAGCGGAAGGGAAGCGAATATTAGTCTAGAGACCTGAAATATCCATGAGAAAMGCGGTCTGTTTTCCTTTCAGTTAAGTTACACTAAACCAAAAAAAGAGAGTTCTTAAAAGACAAGCATCAATTGCCAGATAAAAATGCTAGACGTTTCGTCGACTCGGCGATCACTGACCTAATCTATCGCTTTCCCGTCAAATTCATGAGTGCCCACATATGCTGGAAGTCAAGTTTGGAAGCTAAAAATGAAGCCACTTGCTCTATACTACTAGCTGTTAATTATATGTATATATCAAATCAATAAATCATTAAACTTTAAAAAAAAGGGTTTCTTATGGGGAAAAAAATAAGCTAGCTAGCTACTATAAATATTACTCGCTGAGAGTTCGAATAACTTACCAGTCAGGTGTCTGTAGTGCAAATGATTTGCCGAATAGTGAACTTTGATTAAGTCTTTTTCTCTCGACACAAGCAACCGGCAATTGAAATGTCAAAACTCGTTTTCAATTATTCGCCCAAGCATTCTTAATACGAACAAAAAACATCCTTCATGTGCCCCACTTGGTTTATGATTTACATCTATATTTTTGGGGGACCAAAATGTCAATAGGAACTAGCATCAAATACTTAGGATGTCAGTTAACTGACAGAACATTTTTATTAAAATCCTTCAAACAATATCCGACGACTAGAAGAAAAACACTGACAGTATTTTCCGATCAAAGGAAATCACTATTGTGGGCTATATTACTTGCATGAAAAGTTGACTGACTCGAATTCATTTTTCCCTTCACTTAGGCAGACTTACTCAGTCATTAGCACGAGTGTACAAAAGAACATTCAGACTGCGTACGATATTTGCAAAGAAAAAAGGATTAGTTATCCCCTTATCTCCTGTCTATAACTATAGATCGCTTCTAAGGGTGGTATTCCTTTATAAGATAACGAATAACTTGGGTTTTAAGCTTCTTTGCTATTGAATGTAATATTTAGAGAACAATAGAGGACCATATAACTAGAAAGACCATGGTTATCCTCAATGCACCGAAATTTGATTTGTTTACCCTCACACTCTTTGAATAAAAAGAGTTAAATACATTAGTCCAATCTAGCACTGATAACATTCAAGCGTATTGCTTCTCTTTCTCGCAACTTCTATGTTTCTGGTATTTTTACTTCCTTAATTGAAAGTCTGACGTCATTGGAAGTTTATAGTCATCATAAGTCTACTGTCAATAACACTGCGAAACTAAGACGAGTGCTTGAAAATGAAAATGTGTACATGTAGAAACTCTGTTTACCTTGTTATGATTACGTAGGTTGGCGTGTGACGAAGACAGGTGCTGCGTGGATTTCTATAGAATCATGTGATCAATGTTATCCTCAGGGCAGCTCCAACCCGTTGATCAGTGAAACGGATTTAGAAAAGACTCCTGCAAAGAATGAGGTAATTAGAGCTATTTGGAAAACAGTTACGTACAGATACGGACTAATGAAAAGGCAAAGTTTTAAGCCAAAGCCAGCTACAACATGCTTAAAAGTAATAAGCAATTTCTTATGATCCCTGTGATGTGCTTTTTCAACATCAATATTCACAAGGTGCACAATATAGCTTTTTTATGGTATAACACTATAAGGAAAATCCCCGTTAATTAAGCGAAATAAATGTCACCTGGCTGGGAGAATAAAAATGAATAAAAAATAAATAAAACTCGTATCAATGTCAACGGTAAAATTTACTACAATTAATGAATGTTGCATTGATATTTTTTGTACAAATATTCCTGCATGTTGCTAGATATTAAATCCTAAGTCAGCTTGTTCATAAGGTCCCGACTATATGGCGAGCCCTATATTTCCTCTATCCAATTCATAAACATCAGAACGTCACTAAGGACCACCTACTTGACGTGGTACTTCACTAAAGACATTACATGTACCTATCTATACCTACATGAAGTATGTCTAGGTAGATTGATAATGAGTATCTGACTACGTGACGTTATTAGTTAAGCCAGTAATAACTCTAAATGAACTGACTCATTTTTCGCTATGTTTTTATTAATAATAATAATAATAATAATAATAATAATAATAATAATAATAATAATAATGATAATAATAATGGGATTTAACTGTGGCATTTCTACAGAGTAGCTATTCATCCACTGTAATTCCATTCGGAAATCTAGGAGTTGATTTTCGCGGAGAGAGGAAAGCTGGGAAACCCGGAAAACCCTCGAAGCACAGGAGAGAACCAACAAACAACTCTACTCGCATACGGTACCGAGCTCAGGGAGACTCCAACCTTGGGTCGCATTGATGAGAGGCGAGCGCTCTCACCGCTACGCCACCCGTGCTTCCCAATTCATTTATTTAATAATAATAATTATTTATTTCTAGTGCATTCCATAATCTCAACGCCCTTACAATAGTTTTGTTTCTGAGTTGTGCAAATTTGATTTTCATCACGTAATTCTGACCTTACGATGTTCACGGGTCTGAAAAGTCATAGAAATGAACAAAATTTCGCCAAACAATTTTAGCGGCGTACATGTTTGTAAATTCGATTTATGCATGTCCAAAGTGAGTTTGATAGATTGCTGCCAAAAACATTTTTGTGGCTGATATCCTGGTGGACCAAATTAGTCCACCAGCGAGTTTTTGCTGTACATTTACACTAACAAATTCGAAAACTTCGTTCGCCCATAGGTCGTTTCAGACGCGAATGATCTAAAATACTCACATGGTAGCTCTACATGCATATCATAAGGATTGTTTTTTGATTGGAACCGAAAAATATTCTGGCTCCTATAAAACACACGTGTTTGCAAACAAAGTATTTAGCCAATTACAGCAGGGCTCACTAGGGTTGGTTTTGACTAATAATTGAAATAATAATGATAATCTAATAGTTAAAATGGACATACTATAAAATATAGCACCTAAAAACATTCTGGGAAATTCTCAATTCACCTCTCTTTGTTCTCTGTGCCGTACATGTATAGGCTTACTAGGAGCAAAGGTTCACTACGACTAACGCATACAGAATAGGAAAAAGATATGAAAACTATATGTTGATAAATTGATAAAAGAGATGTTTGAGACTTGATTGGGTATAAAATAATGGTTTTAGCTATTTATTGAAAGCGGTCAGATGACATTTAGAATCGAGTGGTATTCACCCATAGATCTGACCCTTGTTACGCCAAAAAGAAAAAATTAATCAAGTGCCCCACGTTTKTTCTCAATGAAACTCACGTCATGAACTATTTAGATGTACTTCTAGATCATATCCAAAAATCAGTTTGGGTTATTGTATTTAGGGTTCATACGGAGGCCGTAAACATTGCGTACAGTGACTGAAATCGACAGGTGTTTGTTGTTTCTGGTCTCTATTTTCTCATTCGTTTCTTTTTTCATCCCCGGAATTTCAACCCGAAAATGCATTTCCTTTTAAAAAAATACCTTTTTTAGTAATTTAAATAATTTTAGCAGTTTGCAACATTCGTTTAGGCTGCGTTCATAATGTATGCCAGAGTGGGGGGGGCTTAGGGTTTTAGGGTTAGGGTTAGGGTTAGGGCACGGCCTCCGTATGAACAAGGGTTAGATCTATGTGTGAATGCCACTCAATTCTAAATGTCATCTGACCGCTTTCAATAAATAGCTAATACCATTATTTCATACTCAATCAAGTCTCAAACATCTCTTCTAACAATTTATAAACATATAGTTTTCATTTCTTTTTCATATTCTGTATGCTTTAGCTGTTTTTGGACCTGTTTGATTCAACTGAAAATTTGCATACTTTTGAGGTCGCCGCTAGGGAGTAAGGGAGAGTACAGTTTTCTGTACGGTTTCCTCTTTAAATAAAGTGTTACTAGGCCAACAGTTTTTCTCGGATTTCTCAGAATTTTAGTGGTTTTTTGAAAAACTAACTACATCACGTTTGTTTAATCGGCAATACCTTCCAGCAAACCAAAAATCAGAGCAAAATCGAAATTTTGACTGTGACTGGCCGATTCTCGATATTACGTCTTTTGCTGTTCATTACCGCAAAATATGTAGGCATTAGCACCGGAACGATAAACAATAACGGGAAAGTGCATTCGATTTCGCAAACAGACATTCATTTGAGCCAAAGTCACATTCTTTTAAGATTTTTAATAATCACAAGCATTCAATAGCACTAAAGAGCACTCATTCATGCATTTTGTCATTCATTAACACAAACATACTTACAATAGCGTGCTCATCAACTTCATTTAACAGCATTTGAAAATTCGAATTCGTGAATGGACAATCATTAGGGCGTAAGTTTTGAACATTAGCGTTATTCTTACACACAATAATATTCATTTGCGTACTTGAACAAACCATTTCGCGAACAATGCATTAATGCTCATGTACAYACAATACCGCGGTTTTTAAACTCGTTTAGCAAAGATGGATTTTCAATTTAAAAATAGTAATTTGATAATATTTTGGTCAGCCCTGAATTTCTTCGTTATTCAAACATCTTGGAAGATATATCTGCATGAATCTATACCACTGCGCGCTTTGGGCGGCAGTAATTAACAACACCGATATTTCGTTGTAATGCTTCCAGTAGCAGCTGAGTACTATACGATACTCCCCGAGAGGAACATCAAGATGCATTGTCTCTGCTGTGTCGCCCATTGCCTGTTGTATTTCTGGCCTCGAGATGTCTGCWTTCAAAGCTGCTTTTAGACTGCTTATTGCTAGTTCAACAATATTCAAAAATGGGCTGTATGGTGGAAGTATCTTTAATTTAGTATTTGGACCAGGGTTGATAGAGTTGCGATGGGCTGGTGCACCGTCGTATATGAATACAGCTTTCTCATCGGGATCTAAATTTAACCTTGCTTGCCTTAAAAAGTCGTAGAAACGCTGTCCATTCATCCCTCCAACAATGGCAGAGTGGAAAACTAAACCATTAATAGCTGATAGTGCCAGAGTGACAATCAAATTTCGCCCTCGTTGTCCACAGACTTGCCTGTAGGTTCGCTGTCCTATTTAGGCACGCCCGTGGTTCCTTGCTGTCTACACGTTGTTGACATTCATCAACAAATATGACATGGCGAATTATTACACCGTGGTTCATGAGCCAGTTAGCATAGTCTTGTCTCTTCTGGATAAAATCGGGTCTGTTTCGCTCAGTTGGGAGAGGCCTTGTGAGCTTCACTCTAAACAGCATGCCATCCAGAGTCCTAGCAATTGTACTATCATGAACCTCAGGCTTGTTGGGAAGGCGCCTTCGTAACTCTCGGTTTATTTCAGCTAATGTAAGCAGACAATTCTCGTTTATTATGGTGTCTAAGCAATCTCGCATTTCGTCAACTACCTTAACGTTGTTTCTTCCACCTCTTGGTAGCTCTTCAATTCTCCCCTCTCTTAAATACCTAGCTACGATATTTCTGGCTGTTGAACCGTGTACTCCAATTGTGGCAGCAACAGTAAGGTAGTCCTCCGTGGCATCTTCAAAGACTCTGACAATTCTTTCTCTTTGTTCGAAAGTTATTCGGTTTCTTCGTGGCATTCTTCTAGACAACTCTCAACAGCACGTTGAAATGAAGAGTACGCAATTTTAACTAAATGAGTTTTCTGCCTATTTTTCACCTTTTCCACGAAAATATTTCTGAAATGCCCAAAATTGTGGGAATCATGCTGAAAATCTATTTTTGCTWAAATAGTACGCTAATGAATATTATTGTGTGTAAGAATAACGCTAATGTTCAAAACTTACGCCCTAATGATTGTCCATTCACGAATTCGAATTTTCAAATGCTGTTAAATGAAGTTGATGAGCACGCTATTGTAAGTATGTTTGTGTTAGTGAATGACAAAATGCATGAATGAGTGCTCTTTAGTGCTATTGAATGCATGTGATTATTAAAAACCTTAAAAGAATGTGACTTTGGCTCAAATGAATGACTGTTTACGAAAACGAATACACTTTAGGAAAAAGATATGAAAACTATATGTTGATAAATTGATAGAAGAGATGTTTGAGACTTGATTGGGTATGAAATAATGGTATTAGCTATTTATTGAAAGCGGTCAGATGACATTTAGAATTGAGTGGCATTCACACATAGATCTAACCCTTGTTCATACGGAGGCCGTGCC